GATTAAATATTTTTAAAAATATTAGAGAAGTTTTAAGTTCATAGCAAAACTGGGCAAAAGGTACATAGATTTCTCATATGCCCTCTGCCCCTACATATGTACAGCCTCTCCCATTATCAACATCCCCCATCAGAGCTGTACATTTGTTACAAGTGTTAAACCTACATTGACACATCGTTATCATCAAAGTCCATAGTTTACCCTAGGGTTTACTCTTAGTGTTGTACATTCTATAGTTTTGGACAGATGTAAAATGACATGTATCCACCATTACAGAAACATACAGAACAGTTTCCCTGCCCTAAAAATCCTCTGTGCTTTGCATATTCATTCCTCCCTTTTCATCTAACCTCTGGAAACCACTGATCTTTTTACTGTCTCCATAGTTTTGCCTTTTCAAGAACGTCATATACTTGGAATCATAGTTTGCAGCATTTTCATATTGACTTCTTTTATTTAAATATGTATTTAAGCTTCCTCCATGTGTTTTCATGGCTTGATAGCTCATTTTTTTCTTAGTGCAAAATAATATCCCATTGTCTGGATGTGCCACAGTTTATTTATCCATTTACCTGCTTAAGAATATCTTGGTTGCTTCCAAGTTTTGGCAATTAAGACATCCTTGCCGGTATTTGGTGTTGTCAATGTTCTGGATTTTGGCCATTCTAATAGGTGTGTAGTAGTATCTCATTGTTTTAATTGGCATTTCCCTGATGATATATGATGTGGAGCATTTTTTCATATGCTTATTTGCCATCTTATGTATTCTTTGGTGAGGTGTCTGTTAAAGTCTTTGGCTGCTTTATTTTTATTGTTGAATTTCAAGAGTTCTTTGCATATTTTGGGGGTTGCTGGGTGGCTCAGTCGGTTAAGCGTCTGACTCTCGATTTCAGCTCAGGTCACGACCTCATGATTCATGAGATTGAGCCCTGCGTCAGTGCTGTCAGCATAGAGCTTGCTTGGGATTCTCTCTCTCCCTCTCTCTCTGCCCTTCCCCCATTTGTTCCCTCTCTCTCCCTCAAAATAAACTTTAAGAAAAAAAGAATTCTTTGTATTTTTTGGGTAATAGTCCTTTAACTAGTGTGTCTTTTACAATTATTTTCTCCCAGTCTGTGGCCTGTCTTCTCATTCTCTTGAGGGTTGAATATTTTTTATGACTCCATTGTATCTCCTTTTTTGGATCAATAGCTGTAAATCCTTATATTATTTTGATGGTTCTTTTCATCTTCAACTTACCAGTCTACCTTCACATAATATTACACTATTCCACATACAGTATAAGTCCTTAAAACAGTATATTTCCATCTGTCTCCTCCAGGTTTTTGTGCTGTTATTGTTACACATTTTACTTCACCATAGGTTATAAACCTCACAACATATTATTGCTATTTTTGCTTTAAAAAGTTAATTATGTTTTAAAGAGATTTAAGTAATAAGAAAAAAAATTTTTTTATATTTATCCATGTAGTTACCTAGATTCAGGTTTCCAGCTGGTTATCACTTTTTTTCTGCTTGAAGGATTTCTTTTACATTTCTCAACTGCTGATAATGAATTTTTTCAACTCTTGTATGTCAGAAAAAGTCCTTTTTCATCTTTTTTGAAAGATATTTTTGTTGGGAGTGCCTGGGTGGCTCAGTCAGTTAGGTGTCCAACTCTCAATTTCAGCTCAGGTCATGATCTCACGGTTTGTGAGTTTGAGCCTGCTTGGGATTCTCTCTCTCCCTTTCTCTTTGCCCCTCCCTTGCTCATGTGTGCACGCACATGCTCTTTCTCACTCTCTCTTTCAAAAACAAATAAATACATTTGGAGAAAAAAAGGTATCTTTGTTAGGTAAAGAATTCTAGGTTGAAGGTTTTTTTCTTCAGTACTATCTATAAAGACATTGCTCCATTTTCTTCTATCTTATACTTTTTCTGATGAGAAATTTTCTGTAATCCTTATCTTTGTTTCCTTGTACATAAGCTTTCCTCACCCTTGTTTGCTTTTAAGATTTTCTCTTTACCATTGGTTTTAACCAATTTAATTTTGATGTGTCTTGGTGTAGTTTTCTTTGTTTCATGGGCTTGGGGTTTCTTAAGATTCTTAGATCTGTTGGTTTTATAGAATCCATAAAATTTGGAAAATTTTCAGCCACTATTCCTTCAAATATATTTTCTGCCTGTTTCTTCTTCAGATTCCTCAATTACGCACATAATAGGCTACCTGAAGTTGTCCCATAACTCACAGGTGCTCGATGCTCTATTACTATCATCATCATCATCATCAATATTATTTTACAACTGTGTTTCATTTCAGATAGTTTCTACTGCTATGTGTTTTTAAGTGTCAATGTTCCATTCATACTATTCAGTGTAATTTCCACCTCAGAGACATCATAGTTTTCATCTTTACAGTTCATTTGAGTCTTTTTTAATACCTTCCACATCTCTACTTAGTATGTTCAGTCTTTCCTCTAGCTTCCTGAACATACAGAATATAGTTATGATAATAACTCTTTCAATGTCTTTGTCTACTAATTTTATCCTCTGTGTCAGTTCTGGATTGGTTTTCATTAAATGATTGATCATTTGATGGAGTTTCCTCTTCATTGTGGGTTGTATATTCCTGCTTCTTGGCATGCCTGTTAATTCTGATTGGATGCAGGGCACTGTGAATATTACTTTGGTGGGTGCTGGATATTTTTAATACTCTTGTAAAAATTCTTGACCTTTGTTCTGTGATGCTATTGAATTACTTGAAAACAACTTGGTCCCTTTAGATCTTGCTTCTGCTTTTAAGCTTTGTTAGGCAGGACCAGAGGAGTGTTTATTAAGCAGAGGTGTAATTTTTCTCCATTCCCAAGGCAAGACTCTTCTTAGTATTCTACCTGATGCTCCATAAATTATAAAGCTTTCCTCTCTGGTTGATGGAAATATGCACTATCTCTAGCCCTGTGTAAGCTCTGCATATTGTCCCCTCTTATCCGTCTGGATGGTTCTTTACCTGCATAGTTTCTTCACAAGAATGAGCTGATTAATACTATTCTGAATACTGAATACTGCAGATTCCCAGAATTCTCTCTCTGTGCAACTCTCTCTTTTCTGGTACTCTGCCCTGAAAACTTTAGCTGTCTTGGCATCCCGGGACTCTCCACTTCATCTGTTCAACTTAGGGAGACTACTAGGCTTTGCCTGGATGTCTTCTCCCTGTTCAATGGCCTCTGTACTTTCTCTAGGCAGTATGCTAGGGTAATCATAGGGCTCACTTCATTTGTTTTCCATTTCTCAGGAATGATTATCCTATTCATTGATGCCCAGTGTCTTGAGAAACATTGGTATATATATCGTGTGTAGATTTTTGTTATTTCACACAGAAGAATAAATCTGGTTCCTATTACTCCATCTTGGCCAGAAGCCACTGTATAACATCACCCTAATCTCCTTCATTTACTCATATTATACTTTAGCTCCAGAAAAGTCAATCCTACTGACTGGAGCCAAGAAGGCCAGAAAAGTGTGCTTTACTTGGAACACCACTAAAAATTACCTAGAATCTGGAGATGTATAGCATTTCCTAAGTTTGATTTCTTTTCACTCATTAGAGGAGTCTGTCACAAAACAAGATGAAGCTTTCTGATCTCGAGGGTGGAGACACTAACTAATGCAATTCTGTATCTCCAGCACCCAGAAAGGTGAAGAGATAAAAGTATGGCTTTGATCACATCACCATTGTAAGAGTAAATATGTGCCAAGTGGGGCGCCTGGGTGGCGCAGTTGGTTAAGCGTCTGACTTCAGCCAGGTCACGATCTCACGGTCCGGGAGTTCGAGCCCCGCGTCAGGCTCTAGGCTGATGGCTCGGAGCCTGGAGCCTGTTTCCGATTCTGTGTCTCCCTCTCTCTCTGCCCCTCCCCCGTTCATGCTCTGTCTCTCTCTGTCCCAAAAATAAAAATAAAAAAAAAAAAACGTTGAAAAAAAAAAAATTAAATATGTGCCAAGCACTTTACGTACATTATTTTATTCAAACCTCACAACAATTTTAGGTATGCGTCATTCCTGTTTTACTGATAAAACTAAGGCTTAGAAAGATTAAATAGCTTCCACAATATGACACAACTAGTTAGTGGCGGAAATAAAATCTGAGCAACATCTAACCATGCTCTTGACCTCTGTGTAATACTACGTTCTATTAAAGTTCTCCTAAACCACAGACTTCCTTGCTGAAAGGCCAACCTCAGAATGTGCAATCTAAAGTACTCGTACCTGGGGTGCCTGGGTGGCTCAGTCAGTTAAGTGTCTGACTTCAGCTCAGGTCATGATCTCGTGGTTTGTGACTTTGAGCCCAGAAATGGGCTCTGTGCTGACAGCTCAGAGCCTGGACCCTGCTTCAGATTCTATGTCTCCCTTGCTCTGTCCCTCCCCTGCTTGTGCTCTTTCTCTCAAAAATAAATAGACATTAAAAAAAATAAAAAATTTAGGGGCGCCTGGGTGGCTCAGTCGGTTAAGCATCTGACTTTGGCTCAGGTCATGGTCTCCCAGTTTGTGAGTTCAAGCTCCGTGTCGGGATCTGTGCTGACAGCTCCGAGCCTGGAGCCTGCTTTAGGTTCTGTGTCTCCCTCTCTCTCTCTGCTCCTCTCCTACTCATGTTCTGTCTCTCAAAAATAAATACATGTTAAAAAAATTTTTTTAATAAATAAAAAATTTAAATTTTTTTTTCAACGTTTATTTATTTTTGGGACAGAGAGAGAGACAGCATGAACGGGGGAGGGGCAGAGAGAGAGGGAGACACAGAATCGGAAACAGGCTCCAGGCTCTGAGCCATCAGCCCAGAGCCTGACGCGGGGCTCGAACTTACGGACCGCGAGATCGTGACCTGGCTGAAGTCGGACGCTTAACCGACTGCGCCACCCAGGCGCCCCAATAAATAAAAAATTTAAAGTACTTGCACCTACCCACCCTGTATTAGGGTTCACATATATCAATATGGAAGATTTCCACTAAACTACTGATTATTTATACTTACCTGCTTCACCTCACATGAGCAGTGGGGAAGAAACTGGTGCTGGGTGATCTCATGAAATGATTTATGCAGTTTAGTCCCAAACTCTTGAGTGTCAGCTGCCTAAAATGGGCCAGAGAGAGAATATGCTGAATTCCAGTACTGGAAACCAAAAGGAAGGTACCTACATGATATAGGAAGAGGAGGAGACAAACTGGAAGGCAAACCATGTTTGTGTTCAGAGTTTCCTTAATTCCAATGAACACAGAAGAAGTAGAGAGAAGGCCTGTGAAACTGGCATGAGACAAGTAGCTGTGGCTTCTGTGTCTTCCAATTTGTTACCTAAGCAAGATCTTTCAAACAAGGCCTTTGTTCTCTTATCTCTATAGGGGATACACATCCCAGAGATCCATCTGTTCATAAAAGGATTATGTAAATTGCTCTCCTCCAGAACAAGTTCCAAGACAGCATAGGTTCCACTGTATTCAAATAAGGCTGAAATAAGAAACTTTCCTCGGGTAAGTCTTTTAGGGAAGAAAGGAACAAGATGATAGTTAGCATCCATAAGCAATGGGTAATAACCTCTACTTTTTAATATAGAATTGTAGGATATTAGAGTTAAAGGGGACAAGAGCAACCACCTAACACAACACACTAATTTTATAGACAAGAATACTGAAATCTAAAAAGGAGAAGTGATCCACTGAAGATCTCACAGCTAGTCAGTACAAAAGTTAGGACTAAGTTTAGAATTGCCAACATAGTGTTCTTTTCATTACCCTGTGCTATCCACATGACCCAGATAGTTGAAGCTGTAAGATGCACTAGATTATAAAGGTGTTATACTCTTAGACCTAGTAACTCCATGTATAGAAATTTATTCTAAGAAATAATTCAAAAGAAGCAAGATATCACATAGAGGTATTAACTGAAATACTATTTATATTAGCAAAAAGAATACAAGCAACCTAAATGTCTATCATTAGGGGAATGGTTTATTAAATCAGATTAAATCAATGTAGTAGAGGGGCGCCTGGGTGGCTCAGTCGGTTAAGCGTCCGACTTCAGCTCAGGTCACGATCTCGCGGTCCGTGAGTTCAAGCCCTTGTCAGGCTCTGGCCTGATGGCTCAGAGCCTGGAGCCTGCTTCTGATTCTGTGTCTCCCTCTCTCTCTGCCCCTGCCCCGTTCATGCTCTGTCTCTCTCTGTCTCAAAAATAAATAAAACGTTAAAAAAAAAAAATAAATCAATGTAGTAGAATTGGGTAACTGATACAAATTTTAAAACAGCTGAAATGAGGAAATGTCAAATTATATATGAATATAGAATATGTTGGTTACAACTATACAATATAGCTTATATGAGATAATATGCAAAAATTGTAATTATACTGATAAATATTAGTTATTTTTTAATTTGAATACATTATTCTATTTTTTCAAGATAAATTACAAAAAATAAAATAGACACAGAATGAATGTGTCACCCCACTGATAATACCAACCGGTCAGCACAGAATTCTAAAAGGAAGGAAACTAACATTTATCCAGAACCTACCATATGCTATATACTTAGCCCTCACGCTCATAACAACCCTGTGAGGTACTATTATTTTTTCCAATTTATAGATGAAGCTCAGAGAAGTTAAGTACAGGCCTGAGTCCACATAGCCAGTTCTGAATTGAACTCAGGCCTCTAATTTCAACTGTTACACTATTCCATACTGCCAAATAAGGCTACTCAGTTATTTCCAATGTTTTCTGTAACCACGAGGTAACAAACATTCTTCAGTAAGGAACTTGGAATCACTGATCTAGTCTTAGCTCTAACTGTAGCTAGCTATGTGACCTAAAGGAAGTGGAAATTTTAAATAACTTATTTTCTCATTTATAAAATAGTACACTATCCATTCAACAAATGTTTTTTAAAACACCACAAGCCTGATACCATATAGGATCACAAGAGGCTAAAATGAAATGCTTCTAAAAGCTCTGTGCATATTACTAAGATAGGTGGTAGAATGTTGTTAAAAACCTGGCACTTTTAAGCGGCTCCAGTCTACTAACTTGAAGGGCCTGGAAGCAGATCTTTCGGAAGCTACTGCTGGTGCTTCCAGTCACGATACTCATGATGGAATTCACAGCCACTGAGAGTGAGGCCTGCAATTTCTGATGATCCTAAGGAACATAACAAGTAAGGGGAGATGGCAGTTTAAAATAATCCCAAGCTGCTGGTTCAGAGAATCCCCAAGGAATCAAAGATTTCAGTAAGGGCAGGATTTCAACAATTCTCCCCCCCCCCCCCCCCCCCCCCAATCAACAATACTTACTGAGATCATGTCATATAAAGGACACCGAGGTACTGAAACAATATACTCCCCTTTTACAGAGATGACTTACTGATGCAGACACATTCAGAAAAGATAACCAACCCATAAGACACTAGGCAATAAAACAGATGCACATAGTATTTAAAAACAAAAAGCTTTAAACTTTGCTCTTAGTGTGGTTGGTTTTTTCCCCTGAGAAGGGGGCCATATGAAGAAATATATTACCACAAGTACACAGGATGGAGGAAATCAGAAAGTCAGATAAGAGAAAGTGATGTTATAAAGCATTGGGAAATGGGGGGAGAATATAAGATTTAGTGAAGCAATAGCTCCAGAAGTATGTGTGTGAAGGGAAGATAGTAAGGAACAGGTGCATTATCAGTCATTTTTCTCTATTATTTTGTCTCTATTTACTCAAATTCACCTACTAGTAGGTAGACTAGTAGTAGAATTGTAGTATTATGGAAGTACTACTGCAAGATGGTTACAATGACATATCCTAAGTTAAAGCCTGAGTTCCTAGACTACAGGCAGTGTAAGGATCAGCCAAGGTGACAAAAGAGGAAGAGGGCATTAAGCGAGGAAGGCTCTCCAGGTCTGTCATATCCTCTAGTTTTTTTCTTTTTTTCTGTTTAAAGATTTCTTGGGGTGCCTGTGTGGCTCAGTTGGTTAAGTGTCCGACTTTGGCTCAGGTCATGATCTCACTGTTCGTGGCTTTGAGCCCACATTAGACTCTGAGCTGTCAGCACTGCTTCTGAGCTGGAGCCTGCTTCAGACACAAGCAGGGGAGGGGTAGAGAGAGAGTGGGAGAGAGAGACAGAGAGGATCTGAAGAGGGCTCTGCGCTGACAGCATCAAGCCCGATGGGGGGCTAGAACTCATGAACTGCGAGATCATGACCCAAGCCAAAGTTGGACGCTCAACTGACTGAGCCACCCAGGTGCTCCTCTAGTTCTTTTTCTTAGAGAAAGTAGGAGAAAAGGAGTTATGAATTTCTTATTACCTTGGCAGCCTGGTGATACTGTTCCAAGGCCTGGTCCACAGTCACTTGGATGGAATCTTGCACTACACTGTGGCTCTCCGTGAGGATGGCACTGAGATGAACGGTGAGCAAAGTATGGGCTCCTAAGGGGAGTGAGAATGGCCACTTTAGGACAGATGTTCATGTGCTGTGAGTCAGGGTGGGCATGAGAAAGAGGCTTTTAGAAGAAGAGGCCACTTCTGCCTATCTGCAAATAATTACTTTTTTAGTCCCCCACTGCCCCCCAAAAATCCCAGCAACTTACAAACCCACCCAGTTCCACTTACAAATGAAAGAAAGCTTCAAAAATTAATGTGAAGCTTGACATTATTTTTGAAGAAACAAGTGAGGGTTCCTATTTGATTAATGTTAGAAACAGAAATATATACCACATCACTACAGACAATGATACTTGTGACTCTGAAAGAACAGGAAAATGAGGAAGAGGAAAGCCTCCTGGAAAGTTGTATCTACCCTACTCATCTCCTGTTTGAGCATCACTGCCGTGGTGAGCCACTGCTACTGTCAGGGTCTTAATCCTCTCAGATATGCTGTGGTATAGAAAAAGTACTTTATTTCTGATAAAGTAACCACAGGCACCACTGCACAGCAGAATAGCTAACAGGTAAGAGTGACAGGCAAAATATGTCATCCAGCAGTAGGCTCGCATTGATGACTCAGAGGCAACAGACACAGGAAGACAAATTCACTTCACACCTGAGGAAACCTTTCCTTTTCAGTGTTTTTCTACTCTACCCTGAAAAGTCTATTCAAAGGTACTATGGTGAAGCAGCCAACGGCTGGCTGGCTTTTCTCAGGGCTGCATTAAAAATGCAAACCAGAAAGTACATTTTCTACCACAAGGCACAAGGATGCCTTCCCAGAAAGGAATGTAGTATGTGATCTGCTCAAAAAGGGTCCAAAATTGGAGTTAGGAGAACATAGATTCTAGAGTGAATTCTACCACTAACTAATGGTGACCAAGTCACTTGACTGTTCTCACTTCAAAACTAAAATTGGCTTTATAACACCCGCTCTCACAGGCATGTTGTGCAGATAAACTAGGATAATATATATGAAGTGTTCTAAAATGTACATTGCAATATTCAAAGGGAAAATATTGCTATTGCTATGATGATATCATATGGATTATTGTTTTCTATAGTTTGGTCCTAAGAATAGCCTCAAGAAATCATTTAGACCCCTTTGAAAGCAGACATTTAATTAAAAAGCTACAAGTTTGTTCTCCTAAAACTGCTGATACCACCAGATGCCTTTAACGCTGTAGCAAAATAATGAGTTAATCATAGAAAAGTTACCATGACAAGGTGGGCAGGAGGCCAGTTAAGTGATTTTTTTTAAGACACATGGAAACAGACTGTAGTTCTGCACAATCTGTTTCCTAAAAGTAGCTCTACAGAAAGCTTTCAAGGATATGAAAAAGAATAAGGGAGAAAGAAGATAAAATTACTATATCTCTATCCATATATCTGTATCTACCTACCTTCACAGTACATCTTTTTTCAAAGGCTAGTCCTAAACCACCAGATATGTAAGGAAATTTAAAAAGATACTATGTTTACTAATGCAGTGATGAATTTCTATTTAATTCAGTATTGTCACTACCTGAGATGCTGCTGGCCTTCAGAGTCAAGATAAGCAGAGATGTATAAACTATCACAGTACTTACTACAAGAATGATAGAAAACACTGGTTTTAAGGAATCTGAGTTCTTCAGGTATGGGAGGATTCAGGAATAATAGGATTCAGAACATGGTATCAGACTTTACATCATCCTAGGGAAGACTGAATGTGGTACTCCCTCTAGAAGACCTCAAAAAAATCAGGGGGGGAACCTGGGTGGCTCAGTCAGTTGAGCGTCTGATTTCAGCTCAGGTCATGATCTCGTGGTTTGTGAGTTCAAGCCCCACATCAAACTCGCTGCTGTCAGCCCACCAGCACAGAGCCTGCTTCTGATCCTCTGTCCCCTTCTCTCTGCCCCTCCTCTGCCTGCACTCTCCCAAACACACACACACACACACACACGGAAAAAAAACAACAACAAAACAACCTCACTAGAAGATAGTAGATCTTAAGTCTTCAGAGGGTCTTGAGACTTGAAAGGGCCTTTTAGCCCCTCGTCTACCAATCTCATGTTAAATATACGAAAAGAGAGGATCAGATGATTTATGAGACTTGCTTCTGAAAAACCAATGAGGAATTTGGTGGCAGAAGTAAAGTCAGAACCAGCTCTCTAGGGGTGCCTGGGTGACTCAGTTGGTTAAAGCATCTGACTCTTGATTTTGGCTCAGGTCATGATCTCACAGTTTGTGAGTTTGAGCCCCACATCAGGCTCTGCGCTGACAGCATGGAGCCTGCTTGGGATTCTCTCTCTCCCTCTCTCTTTGCCCCTCCCCTGCTCACTCACTCTCGCAAAAACTAAATGAACAACAACAACACCAGCTCTCTTGATTCTACCTGAAGTCCTTTCCCCTATACTAAGCTCTTCTCTTATCAGCCTCTGTCCATATGAGTGTGAGCCAGGTAACAACCCTACGCAACCTCATTCTGTCTTCACTGCTGGAAGCCTCATTAGTTTGGGTCTCTTCTATGCTCCCATTCCAGGGCCTTAATGAACAGAACACCAGGGGCATCAGACAAAAACAGCTCCTCAAATAAAGAGTTGCAAGGCAGAGTCCAGGAAGATAGTGCTTCTCTCCTCAACAATATATAGATAGTGGAGAAAGACAGGAGATGCATGGAGGGCAGGCAGCAGGAAGAATCCCACAACTGACAATAGTTTGTTCAAAAAATAGTTGGCACCAGTCAGCATGAGCTCTTCTGATCTGGGGATATAAATTGTGTCATTTCTCTCATGACTCAGTGGGAGCAGGGCCACACCAAACAAGCACTGGAATGGCTCAGAGTAGAGTCCCAAGAAAAAACACTGGCTCACAGAGAAAGAATACAGAAACATACTGGGAGCACCAAGAGGGAGGCTTATGAACCTTTCCCCACATATTTATAAGCTCCACTTCTTGCTACTCCCCTCAAAGTTTAGAAGGGCATTGAGAAACACGTAAATTTATCCCTCAGGGTTTATTGGATTAAAACACATAAGCTAACTCCTGCTCATATTCAGTGTTTTTCAAACTTTACTAAATTTAAAAATTACCTGAGAATATTTTTAAGAATGCAGATTCTTGAGCCATTCCATATTTTTATAACAAAACAATGAATTGATTCTTGGCTCAGGAAGAAACACATTTTCAAATACTCCAGGTGATTCTGATGCATGTTTCATGGACCACCAAACAGAAACTTTCTGATAACAGATTATCATCAATTTGTTGGATACTAAAGGCTCCCCCTTGTATGCCTGAACGAGGACAATTTCTCCCTTCCCAGAAGTCTATGTGACAATGACATAAAGCTATTCATACCAATATGCTTCCCACACTTTATGTTGTAGTTGAGATACTGTGTCAAGGCCAAGCAAGGCCGGTAACATTTCTTGATTCCACCTGGAAAGGCAATAATGTGGTGGACAGTTCTCAGGCCTAAGCTTTAAAAACATACTGGTATCAGAGCACTGCCTCAGTCCAAGGAAATCATAATCCCTGGGGGTAAAGTTTGGGCATTTTTAGAAGCTCCCCAGGTAATATATCATGGAGCTAAGGTTGAGAACCACTCATCTAAGGTAATAGCCTCTTTTTAAAGAGCATTATAGAAAGTATCTGATTTCTGAACATTCTGGGAATGTCATCATTTAAGTAAGGTTTCATTTTAAGATACAGATCTTTTCTACACACCATATAATTTGTTTAACCTATTTAAGATTTTTTATTAAAATTCATTATTCTACAGAAATATATGTAATTATATATGTAATTCAGATAAAGTCTCCCTTTCTTTACTCTCTTAACATTTAATCACACCCATACTGGCAGCCCCTATACCTACTCCAGAGTTCTGTTCGCTGGACCGGAAATCCGCTGTGGAAATCCACAAAGAGAAAAAGCAGCAGAGTCTGTCCCTGGGAGTCCATATTCTGAGATTGATCCCCCTCACTGGATTCCACCTGATAACTCACATCTGGAAGCACCAAATCTAGAGGACAAGATATTATACAGTATTCTAAGTAAGGCCCTCAGAATGCTAAGTGAATAAAGAACCTATACCTCAAACAAAGAATGATCTAAGATCTAAAATCAAACACTCCCTTTTCCTCCTGAACCTGTTTCTCTATCCACATGATGGAAGCAAATATAGTGACTCATAGAAGGAACATCAAAATAACAACTGAGTGTGCAAAATGTAAACCAAGCAGCACGCTGTAGAATTTATTGGGAAACACTAATACGATACATTTATTCATTCTTTATACAACTTTCTAAGGTAGGTATCACTAGTAAGAGTCAGACGTCAGAGTCAAACCCGAGTAATGATAACAATTAATTTGTATTAAGTGTTTACTACACGCTTTGTATTGTGTTAAATTCTTCACATGAACTATCTAAATATTTAGACTTCACAACAACACTAAGACATAGGACCTATTCTTACGCCATTTTACAGATAAGAAGTACAAATAGGTTAAATACATTGCCCACCATGAGACAGCAAGTGGTGGATCTGTTTTAGACTGACTCCAAAATCTGTGTTCTGAACCACATCACTATATTATATTTATACTCCCAAGTAATCTGATGCCCTACCGTCACTTTCTAGCACCTGGATCCTTTAAAACACAATCATGATAGTCCTAAATTCCATCCAGATCCATTCAGAGAAATACCTCCGTGTATTTCCACATCCTGGTTCTGTCCCTTAGAGTAATGATGGAGGAAGATGAGGAGATATTTTCTACATTATTCATCTCCAAAGTTAACTGAGCAAGTTCAGGCATCAAGAATCAGAAAAAAAAAAACAAAACGAAACTAACAAAGCATGAAAATAAAAATGAAAGACAAAAGGAGATATGGAGAGCCCGAGAGATTCAAAAATTGTAATGGCATGACATCCCCCAGTTAAGATCAAGCATTCTTTCTTCACAAAACCATTCATCTCCAGAGACCCTGTCCAAGGACAGGCTTCTTTCATCCCACCCTCTGGAATAACTACCTATTCAAGAAAAAAAACCCTTACTCTGAAGCTTACTTCCTAGAGAAGACTCTGTCATTCCCCTAGAAATACTCTGTTCCAGGAGGCTCCAGTCTCCTCATGCCATTACAGCTCTAGAATACCTATTCCCCACTGGCTACCTTCCTCAGGATCCAGGTGACCAGACTACCTTCTAAATTTCAAAGAATTCTAGCTAATAACAGTCAAGTTCAACATTGTAAAGCTCCTAGATATCAGCTCATTTTGCATATTCCTACTTCCCAGTTTTATTTTTTGATCCAGTTATTAGGTGTCCAACTCAGTGTAATTCATCCAAAGCTAATGTGGTCAGGCTCTGCATAAATCTTATAGTTTCTTAGTTGATTACTATATAGTTTGTACTCCTGCCTTGCATTTATATGGTAATATTTTCTAAGTAATTTTATGTGCATTTTCTCATTTCATTAGGAAACATTTCTCTTCCACAATAGTTCAAAGATGTTATTAATCTTTTACTATCCTTTCTAAAACAGATTAAGGTACAAGAGAAACCCTCTGAACAAGTCCTTAGAAGATGAAGGGTCAATGACTACCTCAAGAGGACCAGGAAGAGAGGAGCCAGTAGAGGAAGTGAGAGAAAAACCAGCATTAACATGTAATGCCAAAACAGGCTCTAATGGAGCTTTGCCTGTTGACCTGTTGTTTGCTGCACTTCACGTGGATTCTCAGCCAGACCCCTAACAGCACCACCCAACCTAAGCCATCAGATCACTGGGTCCTATTTTTTATGTACACCTGCTATTTATATTTACTTGCATTTATATAATATTCTCCAGGTTTCTTTATCCCTGTGCAAAGAGAGGGAGGTATACCTCTATCCAAACTGAGATCCAAATTGGGCACCAGACACAAGTGGTATTTCTTCCAGTCAATGAAGAAAGAGGTATCTTCGAAGACAGTAGTAGTTGGCTGCTTCTGACTTGGCAATATCAGAGGCAGGCCTGACGGTCCATATAGAAATATGTATAGTCGCTAAAGAAAACTGCCAAATTTTAGGGTTTTTTTTTAAATGACAATATATTCATTTGCATAAAACAAACATAATACTGACCTGGTTCACACTCTCAGAAATAAACTATGGTGCTAGCTAATTATATATTAAGCCTTTTCACATTGAATACAGGTGTGAGGCACCACAGACAGATCCACTAGAATCCCTAGAAATTTATTCTGAGTTCAGTAAGTGTGTGCTACAGGTATAGTATTGGACAATTAGTTTATTTCTTCATCTTGCTCATTCCATCATACGTTTGAGTGGTACTACAGGCTAAACACTATACTAAGTTCAGAGGACACAAAGATGAATATTTAATTTTATTAAGATTTATTAATATTAATAATAAATAAAATTTATTAATAATTTGTTAATATTTATTTATAATACATAAAATTAATTTATTAATATTTATTAAGATTTAATACCTACCTTCAAGTTATCATATTTATAGTACTGGAGATACACATAAAAAACAGTAAACTGTAATACAGTGTGATACATGCTACAAATATATACAAAGATATATCTTTCAGTAAGTACTTGGGTATATTCAGATTAAGAAGGAAACTCCTTACCTTCTCTAACCCTATTCTCTAACCAAGACAAAGGGGACAAGCCCCTGAAATGGTTTCCTTCTTTCTTTTTTTTTTAATGTTTATTTATTTTTGAGACAGAGAGTGAGCAGGGGAGGAGCAGAGAGGGAGACACAGAATGAGAAGCAGGCTCCAGGCTCTGTGCTGTCAGCACAGAGCCCGGCGTGGGGCTCAAACTCACAGACTGTGAGATCATGACCTGAACCGAAGTTGGACGCCTAACCTACTGAGACACCCAGGTTCCCCGGTTTTCTTCTCTTGATTTTACTCCCACTCTCACTCTTTTAAACCCAAGGTTTCTCCACCTAAGCACTATTGGCACTTTGGGCCAGATAATTCTTTGTTGTAGGGGCTGTCCTGTGCACTGTAGGATGTTTAGCAGTATCCCTGGCCTCTACCCACTAGATGCCAGTGGCACCCTCCCCCTGAGTCATGACAGTCAAAAATGTCTCCAGACATTCCCAAATGTCCTGTGAGGGCAAAATTACCCAGTTAAGAACTAATGCTTAACACTTTTTGTTCCCTGAACCAAGGCTGAAGAAACCAGGAATATATTTTCCTTAATCTTTTTTGTTTTCATCCTCTTGTGAAAAGGGTAAACACGAGGCATTAAGTATGAAGATTAAAATCCTCACCCAGTAGGCACTGGGGCATTATGAAAAGTCACAGCAGAACAAAGTGAGACAGTGCCCATAAATGAAGTCTCTATCCCAAATCCAAGAAGACATTAAAACGGGAGCTAAGGCCAACACATCCACTGTTCAGAGCCAGGCTAGCTTTGAGGTGCCACAAACTCAGTGAGTGGAGTGTCCGAAGAGTCGAAGTGTGTGACTTTTGATGGGTTGTTTAAACTATTTACGTTTAATATAAATACTGCTATGGTTGGGTTTTAAGTCTACAATCTTGTTATGTGTTTGGCATTTTCTCCTTACATTGTTTCCTTTTTTTTTTTTTTCTTTTTCCTCTTTTCTATTTTTGGATTCTACTTTGGACTGGTGTTTTTTATAATTCCATTTTATCACTTAAAAAAAATTTTTTAATGTTTATTTAATTTTGAAGGAGAGACAGAGTGTAACGGGGGAGAGGCAGACAGAGAGGGAGACACAGAATCTGAAGCAGGCTCCAGGCTCTGAGCAGTCAGCACAGAGCCTGACACGGGGCTTGAACCCAGGAGCCGTGAGACCATGACCTGAACCGAAGTCGGATGCTTAACTGAGCCACCCAGGCACCACCCACTTTTTTTGATTTATTAGTTATAATTCTTTGTTGAAGCAACTTAGGGATTGCTTTAGGCTTTATAGTATACAACTTTATCACGGTCTACCTTTTAAGTGATATTATAACAGTTGCACATACATATAGTATAAGAATCTGGGAATAATATACTTCCATTTCTCCTCTCTTGGCCTTTGTGCTATTCTCACACATTTTACTTCCACATATAATATACTCTGATGGCATTTTTTGCTTTCAAAAGTCAATTATCTTTTATTTATTAAAAACTTTTTTTAATGTTTGTTTATTTTGAGAGAGAGTATGTGTGCATGCATGTGCAAACAGGGAAGGGGCAGAGAGAGGGAGAGAATCCCAAGTAGGCTCTGTGCTATCAGCGCAGACAGAGCCTGACGTGGGACTCCATGTCACAAATCATGAGATCGTGACCTGAGCCGATATCGAGTCAGATGCTTAACGGACCGGGCCACCCAGGCACCCCATAAAAAGTCAATTATCTTTTAAAGAGATTTTTTAAATGGGGCAAAAATCTTTTATATCTATCCAGATAGTTATGATTTCCAGGGCTCTTCTTTATTTGTGTAGACCCAGAATTCCATCTGATAGCATTTTTCTTCTGACTGAAGCATCTCCTTTCACATTTCTTATAATATAGATTGCTGGTGAAGTCTTTTGTATGTCTTATAAATTCTTTATTTTGCCTCCATTTTTGAAATATATTTTCTCCTGGTATAGAATCCAGATTAAGGGATTTTTTCCCCTTTATTATTTTAAAAATGTTGCTTCACTTTCTTGTAGCTTACAGTTCCCAATGAGAAATCTGCAGTAATTTGCATCTTTGTTCCTCAGTATGTAAACGTGTCTTTCTACCTCTAGTCGCTTTTAAGATTCTTTATCACTGATTTTAATCAATGATTATGGTGTATCTTGGTATGATTTGATTCATGTTTCTTATGTTTCAAGTTTGCTGATCTTGGCTCTGCAGGTTCATACTTTTCATCAAATTTGGAAATTTGGGGGGGCATTATTTCCTCAAATATTTTATCTGCCCTCCCTCCCTGCAGGAATTGAATTACATGTCCCTGAATTAGGTCACCTGAAGTTATCCCACAGTTCACAGAAATTTTATTCATTTTTTTTTAGTCCCTTGTTTCATTTTAGTTTCTATTGCTATGTATTCAAGTTCACTTATCTATTTCTCTGCAATGTGTAAACCTGTCACTAATCTCATCTAGTGTATCTTGACCCTAAAAATTTTAATTTCTATCTCTAGACGTTCAATTTAGGTTTTCACATCTTTTGTGTCTTTAGTTAATATGTTCAATTTTTTCCCTTTTACTTCCTGAATATATGGGATACAGTTATACCTTTTTTTTAAAGTTTATTTCTTTTTGAGAGAGAGAGATAGAGTGTGGGAGGGGCAGAGAGAGAGAGAAAATATCCCAAGCAGGCTCCACACTGATAGTGCAGAGCCTGATGTGGCTTGAACTCACGAACTATGAGATCATGACCTGAGCTGAAACCGAGAGTCGGATGTTTAACTGACTGAGCCACCCAGGTACCCCCAGTTATACCTGTCTTAATGTCCTTGTTTACTAATCCTATTACCTATGCCATTTCTGGGCAGTTCTGATTTTTTTTCATTATGGGTCCTATTTTCCTGCTTGTTTGCATACCAAGTAATTTTTTATTGGATGCCCAGCATTGTGAAGTTTACCTCACTGAATGCAGGATACTTTTATATTCCTGTAAATATTCTTGTACTTTTTTTCTGGGACACTATAAAGTTACTTGGGAACAGTTTGAGCCTTTTGGGTCTTACTCTTAAGCTTTGTTAGGTGGGACCAGGGAAGCCTATAGGCTAAAGCTAACTTCTCCACTATATTCAAGCAAATCCTTCTTAGGACTCTACCTGATGCTTTATGTTTTCCATCCTGCCTGGCAGGAATAAAAACTATTTCCAGCTCTGTGTGCACTCCAGGGATTCTCCTCTATCCGGAGCTCTCTCTGTGTATTTTATCTCCTCTTTGGCACTCTTTTCTATAAATTCTAGCTTCCCTGGACCTCCCTAACTCTGAACTTCGTCTTCTCAACTCAGATCCTCCAGACTCTAGTTGGGTATACCCTCCTGGTGAACTTCTCTAGGTAGTACGGTGGTGCAATACAGGGTTTATTTGTTTCTCCTTTCTCTAGAACCACTGTCCTATACTCTCTGTTGTTTAATATAGTTTTTTAAATTGTTCAAGGTAGGAGGTTGGATCCAGTCCCTGTTATTTGTTCATGGCTGGAAGTGGAATTTCTGAAATTCTCTGACAGAATCTCATGGCCTTTGATAGTTTCTTTGCTTTCTGGCTCAACAAGCTACCCATGCTCATCTTGTACATTTCTACTTTAGGCCTGGAATCAGCCATTCCTCCTTTTTAGTGAGCAATGACATTTAGAGAACACATTCTGGATACTAGGACTGCTCATTGCTCCTCAGTTTGTTTTTTGTTTTTAGCAGATAGAGCTAAAAAATATATAATTTCAAAAGTCAGAAAAGTTGGGCATACACACTGATATTTTCAATTCCACTTTAAGATTACTTTCAGGGGCACCTGGGTGGCTCAGTTGGTTAAGCATCTGACTCTTGGTTTTGGCTCAGGTCATGATCTCATGTTTCATGAGTTCAAGCCCTGCGCTGGCCTCTGCACTGACATCATGGAGACTGCTTGGGATTCTCTCTCTCTCTCTTTGCCTCTCCTCTGCTCATGCTCTCTCTCAAAATAAATAAATGAACATTTTTTTAAAAAAAGATTAATTTCAAAAATTTTTTTATTTCAAAATAAAAATATTCTATTCCTTTGAATTTATACTCCCACATCTGCTATATTATGCTAAAAATTTTGGTTCTTAACCATTTAACATAATTACTTGTTTTATAACAAGTATGCATGCAAGAATTTCAGTACGGTAATACCAATGTTATTAACAAGAATCAAGACCACTAAATGAATTTCAAGAGCACTTTTCAGTTCATTTCATCCTTAGAGTATATATCAAGAATGTATGTCAAAACACTATGTTCTTAAAGTCAGTTGAATTAATTCTTCTTACTATATGAATTATGACCTTTATATGGGTAGGTTATCTTTTAAAAAAATTTTTTTTTAATGTTTATTTGTGAGAGAGAGAGAGAGACAGACAAACAGAGTGTGAGCAGGGGAGGGGCAGAGAGAGAGGGAGACACAGAATCTGAAGCAGGCTCCAGGCTCTGAGCGGTCAGCACAGAGCCCGACACGGGGCTTGAGCTCACAAACCATGAGATCATGACCTGAGCCGAAGTCAGATGCTTAACAGACTGAGCCACCCAGGCGCCCCAGTTATCTTTTTTTTTTTTAAGTTTATTTATTTTGAGAAAGAGAGCACATGCGTGCACATGGGGGAGGGACAGAGGGAGAGAGAGAGAGAGAGAGAATCCCAAGCAGGCTCTGCACTGTCAGTGCAGAGCCCAACGCTGGGCTCGAACTCATGAACTGCAAGATCATGACCTGAGGCAAAACCAAGAGTTGGATGCTTAACCAATGGAGCCACCCAGATGCCCCAACATTATCTTTTATCTTGAGAAACATTTTTACTGGGTATGGAATTCTAGGTTGGTAGTTTTTAAATTTCCAGACATTAACACTAGTATACTACTACCTCATGTTGGTATAAGGAAGTCAGCTGTCAATTTGTTTCTCTTTTGAAGAAAATCCATCTTCCTTAGCTGATTTTTTCCTTGTTTTTGATTTCCTAGAGGTATGCATATCTTTTTGTTTATCCTGCTTGATTGCTGAGCTCTGAAACTGTTTTAGTTGTTTAGCCATTGATTCTTCAACGACTGTTTTTGCCCCATTTTCTCCCTTCTCCTTTGGGACATGAATTAAATGTACATTAAATGTTCTGTTTCCTCTCACTGTTAACCTCTCTTCTGTATTTTCTATCCTTTTGTCTTTCTTTGCTTTATTTTACTAGTTTTTGCTGTCCTTATCTTTTACTTCACAAATTCACTTATGCTGTGTCTAATCTGTTAAATCTGCCTATTTAATTTCAATGTTGGTTATTGTTATTTTTGGTTCTACAGTTTCTGTTTGGTTGTTTTAAAAATTATGTCACATTTTATAGTTTTCCGTTCCCTGGCAAAATTTTTAAGCTTGGCCTTCAAGTTCATAAATATAATAAGCATAATTCTTTATTTTTAAAATCAGTATCTGATGTTACCAATATCTGAAGTCCCAGTGGGTACTCCTGTTGCTTTTGTTTTTGCTAGCTCTTATTCATGTTGCCTTGTCCACTCTTTTACGTGTGGTTTGTGTGTGTGTGTGTGTGTGTGTGTGTCAGAGAGAGAGAGACAGAGATGGAGAGAGAGAGAGAAATGTACACATGAGCTGGACATTTTGAGAAAGTATTTGTTAAAATATTTGAAGCACAGATGTGGTGATCTTCCTCTAGAAAATAATCTTTGTTTGCTTCTAAAAGACATCTGGGAGAATTAGATATCTAGAATCATCTTAATCCAATTTTAAAGTTTAAGATTTTCTAGCCTTCCCAGATGACCCAAAAAATATATGCAGTTCATGTGAAGGATGGTTTATTTCAGGTTCATCTTACTCCTTAAAGTGTAACCTTTTAGTTATCTCTGCCCAAAACAAGAGGTGTTTTTAACAGCACCCCCCAGCTCAGTAAGCCCTAAACTCTTTGGCCTTCTTGACCTACATTGATTCAGAAGTGCATCTTAGCCTCTCAGCTGCTTGCTATAATTTGCAAATGACCTCACAGCAAAAGCAGCCCCCAATGTTGAGCTCAGGCTTTCTGTAATTCCTGTCTCTACTGTGATCGCCCAGAAATTCCTCCCTATTTACTAGCTCTTAGAATCTTTTATGTCTTAATATTTCATCCAACATTTGTCTTCAATGGGAGGGTTGGTCTAAATTACCTAGCTTGCCATTTTCAGAAACTGAAATCCTATCAGAGTTTTCTTTATCTTCACTAAAACATCACCTCCCTAGAGTCTTCGCTTACTATAATATTTAAAATAACTTCCCTGTCATTATCTCTTTACCTGCTTTATTTTATCTTTAACTGTACTTATCACTACTGACATCTATTTATTAAAATGTCCTATTAAATGTAAACTTCAAGAGGATAGAAAAATTTGCCTTTTTCCCTCTGGAGAATGGGATGAGGAGGAGGAGAAACTTTTTTATTTTACTTTATACTCTTCTATATGCCCTAGATATTAAGAAAAAGCATGTTTTAAAATCCAAAAGTCCATGCATAGTCTTTATCACCATCTGCTCCTTCCTCCTCCCTAAAGATATTTTCAGCTGACATTTATCATACCATGACCTTGGCCTTCTTCTGGTCTTATTCTTTTTTTAAAAATTTTTTTTTTTTAATTTAAAAAAAAAATTTTTTTTTCAACGTTTATTTATTTTTGGGACAGAGAGAGACAGAGCATGAACGGGGAAGGGGCAGAGAGAGAGGGAGACACAGAATCGGAAACAGGCTCCAGGCTCTGAGCCATCAGCCCAGAGCCCGACGCAGGGCTCGAACTCACGGACCGCGAGATCGTGACCTCGCTGAAGTCGGACGCTTAACCGACTGCGCCATCCAGGCGCCCCTGGTCTTATTCTTTATACGCTACTAGAACTTCATTTTACTTGTACAGCTTCAATTATATAACAATAACACCTAACATTTATTGAACACTTTTATGTGTCAGGCAATATGCTGGGAGCTTCATATAGATTATTATATATAATTAATACTAAAACAAACTAACCCCAAAACAACAACAACAACAAAACCTTTGCAAGGGAAAACAAATCTATGAAGTGTTATTATCCCCATTTATTTTTAAATTTAATTTTTTAACATTTATTTATTTTTGAGAGAGAGAGAGAGGCAGAGCATGAGCAGAGGAGGGGCAGAGAGAGAGGGAGACACAGAATCCAAAGCAGGCTCTAGGCTCTGAGCTGTCAGCCCAGAGCCCAATGTGGGGCTCAAACCCACAAACCATGAGATCACGACCTGAGCTGAAGTTGGATGCTTAACTGTCTAGGCCATCCAGGTGCCCCTACTTTTTTTTTTTTTTTTTTTTAAATTTTAGAGAAAGAGCATGCATGAGCGAGGGAGAAGGGCAGAGGGAGAGAAAGAGAGAACCTTAAGCAGGCTCCACACTCCACATGGAGCCCAACGCAGGGCTGGATCCCATGACCTGGAATAATGATCTGAGCTGAAATCAGGAGTTTGCTGCTCAATCAACTGAGCCACCCAGGTGCCCCTATTATCTCCATTTTAAAGCGGAGGAAATAAAGCCTTAGGCTGGTTGAGTAAACTACATGAAGTCACAGCCAATTAGTGGTGAATCTAGTATTTACACTCTTGTTCCATGCTCTAACCACAGCACTATACTTTACTTTCCGATGGAGAAAATGCTAAGGCTCTAAAATTTATCTCTAAATTGGCCACTTCCAAATTCCAGACCAAAATTTCTATATAGCTATACTTGCCATTTTCAAGGGATGTCCTACAGAAACTACAAACTTAGCATGTTTAAAGCTAAGCTAATCTTTACCTTCCAAATCTGCTACTTATGATTTGTATCTTATTGATAGTATCATTATTCTGTCAGCCATCTATTGAAATGGTTTTTTTTGGCAGGGGGAGAAATGGCGCAAGTGAACAAGGGACAAACAGAGAGAGAATCCCAGGGCGGCAAGGGGGGCAGCAGGCGTGAGACAGAGAGAGAAGCAGGGCTCACCCGAAGTGGGGCTCGTGTTTACCCAGGGCTCAAGCTCACCTGACATGGGGCTCGACCTAACGAACCATGAGATCATGACCTGAGCCAAAGTCAGATGCTTAACGACTGAGCCACCCAGGGGCCCTATAAATGTTTTTAAACAGCTGAGATTTAAACATATCACACAGCACACAACTTACCCACTTAAAGTGTATAAATGGGTTATAGTATATTCAAAGAGTTGTGCAACCATCACCACCATCAATTTTAGGACATTTTTACCATCCTCCCCCCACCAAATCCCTATCTATCTACTTCCTGTCTCTATAGATTTGCCTATTCTGGATATAGAAATATTAACATCAATTTTGGCCATTCCCTGCCCCTAATCTCTCCCTACCCCCACAATGAATTGCTTGCCTCATTATACTGATTCCTTCAAGTGATAAGTCTCTCTTTTCCATGCTCATCACATTTTTAATTCAGGCGAGCATTATCTCTTGCCCAGTTCACTTATTCACTTAGTCATTACTGACTTATCTCTCCTACCCATCCTGTACAATGCTGCTTGAGATGCCTAAAACATTCAATGGTTTCCCGCTATACAGAGAATGAAGTTCACAATCCTAAGTGTGATACAAAAGAGCCACCATGTCCACCATTTTCCAGCCTCATCTCTCCTGCTTGCACCATTCCATGCTTCAGTCATATTGGATTATATGAAAAGAATGTGGCACATATGTCACATTTTATAGTTTTCAGTATTTGGGGAAAATTTCTCAAGACTGGATTTCATACTGGATTTTTGTTTTTATACAAATTATATTGGCTTCTAGATACAGAGTTTATATGCTAAAGGCTTTTCTAGAATTGGGATATAAAAATTCATTTTTCAAAACAAAGTTGAAAATTTTGATGGAGTTTATCATCAAAAGGATATGGAAACTGAAGAAACTCTATTCAGCTGGTTGGAAAAGACCTTTGGGCAGGGACACAGAGCAGCAGCTGGAGTGAGTATCAGTTCTCCCAACGAGCCCATGCCAGCCACGTCATCGGGGATGAAAAGCATTACTGGATGTCCTAGCACAGGATGGATTCGACTGCAGAGTAATTGAGCTGCACCAAATTTTGGTCTACTGTCAAAAAACAGGTAAGATAAATTTAGACTTTTTCTTTCTTAAGAAATTATTTTATTTTTATTTTTTTCCTTTTCTTTTTTTTTTTTTTTTTAAAGTAGGCTCTATGATGGCATGCTTGGCTGGCTCAGTGGAACATGTGACTCTTGATCCCAGGGTTGTGAGTTTGAGCCCCACACTGGGTGTAGAGGTTACTTAAAATAAAATCTTTAAAAATAAATAAAATAGGCTCCACACCCAACATGGGGGGCTTGACCTCAGGACCCAAGGTTAAGAGTCACATGCTCTACTGGCAGAGCCAGCCAGGTGCCCCTTAAGAAATTATTTTCGGGGCATTCAAAAGTCTTTGGATATCTCTAGCATATACATAATCATATAATCTACCATATTAGTTTTACTGGAATAAGTAACTTGTGTCTCACTCAGGGAATCACAAGCAATAGAAAGAGCAGACAAACTGGAATTTCAGGAATGATATCATGGCTACTGTTTCTGCTGCCACTATGCAGTTTAAAATTTTTTTTAATGTTTATTTATTTTTGAGGGAGAGAGAGTGAGCGGGTGATGGGGGGGAGAGAGGGAGACACAGAATCTGAAGCAGGCTCCAGGCTGTCAGCACAGAACCCGACACAGGGCTTGAACCCACAAACCATATCATGACCTGAGCCAAAGTCACACGTTTAACCAACTGAGCCCCCCAGGCATCCCTGCCACTATGCAGTTTTATATTCACTAATGTATATTTCCTCCACTGAAATTAGTCTACAGCTCTGAGCAGAAGTTTCCAAGATCAAAGATTAGCATGGTGAGGGTAGGGGTGAAGGGGTCCCTGAATCACAACAGCCTAAAACTAGCCCTGTGATACTTAGATCTGCTCTCACACATGCTACACCTTCTCCTGAAGGAGTCCGAGGTTACTGTTTGATAGGAGTAATGAGAAAAAATTAGGGCATCTTTCTCTCCTAAAAGAATCTAGTGAAATTTGATACTCGCTTACTTTCTAACAGCTTTTCTTTTTTAAATAGGAAGAAATATTAATGAGCATTTTTCCTCTCTCTTTAAACTGATGAGGTCATCCAGGAATATATGTCCACAAACACTGGTTCAGAGGCTTAAACTTTTTCAGTAAATTTCTGATAATGAGCTGTCTAACTTTAAGGATTGTATGATAGTAAAGGACTACTAAAGATAGATACAGAGTGGGGACTTTATTTACTGCACATATTAAAGAATGAAAAAATTCTAATCTGAAGTGGACTTTTGGCTAAGAGTAAAAAAACAGACTAAAAAGCCATAAACAGTGTCTTCAAACCTTAAGATCCTATGACTACCAGTGCTGATTCAGGGCATACAAATGGAGTCGAAACTACTGAATAAAGAATAAATTACTTGGACTAAATCATAAATTGTTTTTTTTTCTTGCTATATGCATGTTCACTTTGGATTCTCTTAGGAAGGCAAGGCAGAGGAATAAATTCCATTTATTTGCCATCTTCTCCATGGATTTTTTTTTTTGTAGTCTGGAGGTGGAGGTAGAGATGATTTCCAAACCTTTGAAAAATGCCGATGCACAAAAAATAATATATAAAGAATTCCTTTGTGTTCATAGTATCTTTCTAGCCAAGAGTTCAAGGAACCTTCTCAAGTCCTTCCTCTCTTCTCATATGTAAATAAGATTGAAATTTGTTGTTTCATTTATAGAAAAAATAAGACATGGAAAGGAGAAGGGACATGTTCTCAGGTCAATTAGAATACATTCAAGGAGCCAGAAATAATGAGAGTTTTCAATACAAATAGATTAAAAGTTTTACTTCCACTTTTCTTACAGAGAAGCTAATGCCTGGCACTAAGAAATGACAAATGAGGCTATGTTCAATTTCTACCCACACTCATACTCATAACAGGAGAGTAAAACATGGAGAGGGACAACAATGCTTTCATCCTTCACCTCACATAATGTTGATAGTTTGTAACAAGAGCAATTCCATTCGACAGGTTCAAAGTGGGTTCGTTCTTTGTCCTGGAAAGCAAAGAAAAGCTAAGCCATAGTTCACAGATTCTAAAACCAATCTTTACCTGATACAAATTTTGGCCCATGACCACCACCACCCACAGAGATTACTGGAATCCAACAGCCAACTAACCAAAGGGAAATGGAAATTTTTAAGATCACCCACTCTGGTGAGAGGGAAAGACACGAAAAGATATAGATGAATCTACTTACTCATTAAAAGTTAATATAGAATAAGAAAATGTGGGAGTCTCAGAAAATTAGTTTCAAGGTAACTTTGGGTCAAGAAGTCAAACTGTGAAGCTACTAGAAATAGGGCAATAATGACTGAGAAAAACTATAAAACCATGGCATAAATTTAAACCATTGATTTAAGGACTTACCCAAAGATTTCCAAGGAAAGGATTCCATTCACCTTTACACTGAAATTAAATCTAATCTGCAAAGTAAATGGGGTATGAGATTTAACATGAACAAGGATGGAGATTAAAAAACTTCCATACTTGGGGCGCCTGGGTGGCGCAGTCGGTTAAGCGTCCGACTTCAGCCAGGTCACGATCTTGCAGTCCGTGAGTTCGAGCCCCGCGTCGGGCTCTGGGCTGATGGCTCAGAGCCTGGAGCCTGTTTCCAATTCTGTGTCTCCCTCTCTCTCTGCCCCTCCCCCGTTCATGCTCTGTCTCTCTCTGTCCCAAAAATAAATAAACGTTGAAAAAAAAAATTTTTTTAAAAACTTCCATACTTAATTCCCAAAGGTGTAGATATTCTTTACATCACCTTGTTTTCACTTGCACTTTCCCTAAACAACTAACACAATTAACATTTACCTGTGCTCAAATTCTGCATCTAAATTTATATTGAGTCCTACATTTCAATTCCAAGTGGTCACAGATTATCAGAATATCCTAACTTTTGTTCTCTGCTGTTCTCCCAGTTATATCTTCTCCCCCTTAAAAGAACTATTGATTTTTCTCTCCATTTTTTCCATGGTTTTCATATATAGAACATTCCATGCTTTTTTCTTTGTGTTTTCTTCCCTTCCCCCCATCTGACTTTTATGTCCTCCAATTCACTTCACTGTTCTAATTATTTCCTACTTTTGATTTACATTTTCCTTCCTATGTAATAGAAGACTCTAGAGCTAGACTGCCTGACTTCAAATCCTGGCTCTGCAAGTTATTTAACCTCTATACCACAGTTTCTTCAGCTGTAAAATGGGAATGATGATGATAAAACCTACTTCACAAGGGCTGTTGCATTAGGTGAGTGAATAAGTGTATGGAAAGGACTCAGAAGTAACTGGCATATAATATGCACTGAACCCTGCCAAAGACATAAAAAGTTGACTCTAGCAAGAGAAGAAAGGGAGAAGTTATATACCATACTTAACAGTGTACATCCCTATAAACATATCTAACTACATGTAATAATAAAAATTATAGCTCTCCAAAGTTCGAAGTACTTTGTCAGAATTTCCTGATTTGCTCTTATAGTCACTTTGGAAAAGGAGGAAATAATCAGCAAGGTTTATTATCCAGAAAAATGAAGCACAGAGGAGGCAAAAAAGTATCTAAACTGATACAATAAAATAATATGGAAGTAAAAACAACAACCCAAAGAAAGCTCTATATTCAAGGGCTATCAACTATATCACATGACCAACACCAACACTGTGTTAGGGGCACAGAAATCAAATCAATTCAATATTAAAGTTGTAATCATTGTCATTAAAAGAAAAGAGGACCAAGCATATCCTTCCACGTCCTACAGAGTAGAGGTCTCTTGAAAACATGTGATTTAAAAGAATCATTACTATGCAAAAGAACAGCTTACCTTAGGGTGTACCATGATGATTCTGCGTAAAAAGTTCTTTATCACCAAACTATCTGTCATCAAAGTTCTGGGCTTTTCATCAACCTGTAAAAATCCAACAAAAACTTCTACCACATATACACAAACCCAGGAGCACAAATGAATTAAACTGTGATATTTCTTTCTATAAAGGTAACTCTCACCTTAGAAAGCTTCTCAGACATCCAAGGGGATGGTCTAAGAATTGGATACAAAAGGGAATCTAACAGCCATCATTCCTTGGGTTAAACTATTTCATGGAACTTTAGGAGACATGTGAACAAAGGTCAGAGTAAAACCCACAATCTCAAAACCACTTTTTGTAACAAATTTAAAAGTATCAGACCAGAGCTAAGAAGCGTTAACTCTTTCTTAGCTCTGCCATCCTGATGTGAGAGTCAATCTCTATTAAGAATGGAGTGAAATTAACAGACACTAAAAGGAACCTACTTTTCATCATCAATCCATTTATCTAAACTTTATTTTTTAGGGAAAGCTATAAAGCAAAAATCTCACAAGTCAGAAGACCTGTGTTCTAGTACTAGCTCTATAAAATTACATACGTAACCATGAAAAAAAGTCACTTAATTGCTTTGGACTTCATTTACTAATCTTCAAAACAGGAATAACAGTTACCCATTCTCCCTCACAGAACTGTTTTAAGGACCAAATAATAATCTGAAAGTATATATTATACATGGCAACAATAGTAGATATCACTTGTTGAATGCCTACTATATAGCAAGCATCAAGCATTTTGCAAGTGCTGTATCTACATTACCTCACAACAAACCTGGAGGCAGGTACTATCTTCTCTGTAGGTTTTTTTAAATGAGGTTCAGAGAAGTTAAGCAACTTGCCTAAGGTTACTCAGCAGTTCAGTGATAGAGCCAGAATTTGACCTTAAGTCTGTCTAACACTAACTGTCCATGCTCTTTCAAGCATACCCAGATACCTCCCTATAAATACAATAAAATTTACAATTTAATGAGGATTTTCTCTGTTCCAGGAATGGAGCAAAAGTACCTTACTTGTATTAACTACCTCATTTACCCCTCACAAAAGCCCTATTACGTACACATAACCCACATTCTGTGGATGAAAAAAATGAGTCTCAAAGAGGTCAAACAACTTTCTTAAGGTTACCTGATCTGGATTCAAAGCTTTAGTATTAACCACTATCCTATAATGGCTCATTGTATTTAATACAGTGCCCCTAAAACTAAAGTTATAAAGAGTCTTCTACAAAATGGAGAAGTTGAGGAAAATGAGAAGAAGAAATAGAGTAAAAAAATATCAGTAAGTTATTGGTGGCTCTGAGAATACAGAGCCATGTAGTAGGTACATATTAAGAAAAAAATGGTCCCAGATCTCAAAATATCATAACACAATGAGGAAGAAACAGAAAGAATAAATTATTGTAATACTTTTTGTAAGCACACTGAAAATGAGATCAAGAATTGTGCAATGGGTGGGGAAATTAGATTATTACAGAATCATTAGCAAAAATTATCAGAAAAATGGATGGGAATTATTAGAAAATTCTGGATACAGATCTAAGATTATTCATACACAAAAACAGTGGTAATTAAGTTATAACTGCAGCATACACATCACAGTCACATCCTTCATTTAAAAATTTTTATCATAAAATGTTCAAATAGTAGAAAAGCAATGATCTCTTCGAAGCATTTTCTGTAATTAGCACTTCCAAAACAACTTCTTGGAACAATTTCAAACTTCTGTAGCCTTTGTTATTATAGGGTACATCATAGAAAGGGCTAATTATATCTAGCAGTAAAGCAACCAAGTAAGTGTAAATTCCTTCAGCAGCTACCAGAAAGGGGCTACAATTAATAATGATGAGAGGTACCATTTACTGAACACCTGCTACATGCCAAACAGTTTGTACGCAAGTAGGAAATTTCCCCATTTTATTTATGAAAATAATGAGACTAAATAAGCTGTTTGATTTGTCCAAGGTCACACGTGTCTAGTTAAGAACTGGGATTCAAACCTAGATATGACTTGTTTCAAAGTCCACGTTCCACTATGCAATGCTGTCTCTCCAAGAAAGTTCATTTTCGGTGCATATAGCTTCCTGAATCAGATATTATGTTATCTATCATTACTTTTATGGACCCTGATAGGCAACACTTATGCAAACTACTGAATTATCCACTCAAAATACTCAATGAAGCTTATTATATACTTGGGCCTACAGAGGAAATAAAACAATCTCTGAATTTGAAGAGTTCAGTTAAGTAGAAGGGAAAGACAAATAACTTATATGACAATGTGAAAGTTTTATGATTTAGATATATAAGAGATGCTAAAGAAATGCACAAGAAAGACTGGCACCTAATTCAGATTGAGAAGATAAAGTGACCTAATGTCCTATCAGCAGAGGATAGTTAACATAAAGCAAATGCCTCCTTTTAAGATCTACTCATAAATTATTGAGAGAAACAGAGAGAGAGAATATATGTATATGTGTATGTCTACAAAGTCTTTTACAGCCTTTTACAGTTGGGTGTAAGGAACGCAGTACCCCAGCCTAACATATCTATAGAAGCAGTGAATTTACTTAAGTGTGTTAGGAAAAAACAGATGCTGCAAGCCCTGGGCAGCAGAAACCACTACCGAATCATATGTTCAGCCTTCACCTTTAAATACAAATCTAATTATATCACAGAATATCAGAGCTGTTTTATATTTTCAAACTGAACTTATGTAGTCATGGGCCCTATATGACTGTCTAGAAGAAAGTCAGTCAGTGCCTCTGTCTCTTCCTGTCTCTAGTTAGAGAAATAGAGATCGATAAATATAAGTATGAAGATGTTTATATGTATATATGTTTATCTCTACCAATTTTATCATTTTTAATATTACGGCAAAAATAAATATAAAAATGGATAAAGCTTTCAAGAAGATCTTGTAAAATCAAATTGTTTTTGGAAGTACATGTTATCCAGCCTAATGGACTCCAAGATGCAAGACACAAGACTGACTCTGAGCTTATGCATCTCTCCTAAAAGAAGCTCTCTTCGTATTTCCTGGGATTAGCTTTCCTCACATGCCCAAAGCAGTGGATCATTTATTATAGCTTTTTCACAGATGTCTCCATTCACTAGCCTCTGCTCTGAACCTTGCTATCTAACCCTTCTCCCCATTTGAGGTATATATAATTAGCTTGTTCACAATCTCCCCTTCTCACTTCCTTCATTCAAGTATCTTTTAAATAGCTGCATAGTACCAGAGACAAGAGATGTAATAGAACCAATGCTTTCAGGGAATCCTTGTTCCTCTGAGGTCATACTACTCTTCCCCACTCTTCATGGATCACCAGCTGACTGCAGGCACTGAGATCAGTTTCCCTCAGCACTTTAAGACATACCATCATATGGGGTGACTTCCACATCCAAGTAGATGGCCTGTCTAAGCAACAATTTAGACATAATTTCCTGACCTCTTCAACTCCCAACGACCTTGACCTCCATGCATTTCCAGCCACCTATTTCCATGGCCATAATTTGGAATGGTACCATTCTACAAACCTGAAACTGAAATGCCTCACTCTTATGTGAAAAGGTGCACACTAGGATGTTAACAGTGGCTACCTTGATCATGTCAAATTATCTGTGTTCTAGATGCTCTCTCTGATTTTCCTGAGGGAAACACTGCTTTTGCAATAAGGAAAAAAAAATAAGACAAACTTTATCAATCTGAAACAAATCCCTATTCTTTCAAGTCTCTTAACTCCTTATATCAGATAATCTGTTTTCAGTCTCATCAAGAGATGAGAACTGGGCACTTCCCATTGGGTTAGATATCCTTCCTATATATATATCCTACCTCTATCATAATACATTTACAGTGTATTATAATTATTTGTTTGCTTGTTTATCTTTTCCTTTAGATTTCAGGTTCCTTGGAATCAAGTAACATGTCTTGGGTCACTGTACCTTCAACATCTAGCAAAGTGAGGCCGGCTTGAACAAACACAGGTTTCTCAATGAGTGAATAAATATTCAAACAGACCTGATTAATATGAGTACAAGACTTTGGTTCAAATTCTAATCCTGTCGCTTAACTTTCATATGACCCTTGAAAGTCAATCTAATTCTCTGAATCTCAGTTTTCTTGTATCTGTAAATTGGGTGATAATCTCTGTTCTTCACAGAGTTGTTGGGAGGCTTAAATAATATACATAAATGTTACGTGTAAGAATTATCATTGTTTGTTTAGACTGGCTAAAACACATGATCTCCTTTACTAGAACTGATTTCCTTGGTTCACTGAAATCAGCTTTTTTATTGCTACTTAATGTTAATAGTTTCAGAGCTGACTAACCATTAATTGCTCCAGATTGTTTACTCATCATTCTCCTAAAGAAGATAAGGCACGGCCAGGGATATCTATTGTCGCAATACTGCACCCCTTTCCTTTGAGAAGGAGCATATAATTGTCCAAACGTGAAGAAAGGCCTCCCAAGTGCTTCTTGGGAGAATGTTTAAAGTACTCTAATTCTTTATGTCTCCACAAATTCAAAGGAAAGAAAGAATAGGGAATCACAGAATTATTAAAGGGAATGGAAAACTCAACTGTCACTCATAAATCTGGGCTACAAATAAATCAATAAAGATCTTTAAGTCAACCTAATAAAATGTATGCCAATAGGATCTACACTGGGAATCCATTTTTATTTTGTCTTTCAGGAGATCCAAACTCAAATAATGGCTTAATTTCAGTGGTTCTCAAGTTTACCTGCACATTAGGAATCACCTGGGAATTTTTTTCATCTGGGATTTCAAAAATATTTTAAAGCCCAGGCCACACCAGTATGGACTAAATTGTATTCCCTAAAATTCATACATTGAAGCCCTAGCCCCCCATGTGACTGTATTTGGAGACAGAGCTTTGAGGACATAAATAAAGTTAAATGAGGTCATAAACGTGGAGCCCTAATCTGACAGGAAGATGTCCTTATAAGAAGTGGTAGACTAATTAGAGAGCTCTCCCACCACATATACACAGAGGAACCATGTGAGGAAACAGTGACAAGGCACCTTATTCTTAAACTTCTAGACTCCAAAAGTATGAGGAAATAATGTTCTGTTGTTTAACCACCCAATCCATAGTATTTCTTTATGGCAACCTGAGCAAACTAATCCAACACCCTAGGCCAATTAAATCACAACCTCTTGGAGTGGGACACAAATACCAGTCATTTAGAAGTACGGGGGGCGGGGGGGGGGTTGAAATCTGCACAGAGAAGTTTGGGAGCCAATGCCTTATTTCATTTCAACTTGGAACTGTGATGGACCTAGGCTTTTCTTTCCTATTATTATATTTGTAGAAAAATGAGAATCAAGATATCAGTAATTTATAGAACCACAACAAAACCTGCCTCAAAAATCATCTGGAAGGGTGTTACCCCTGATATGTCCTGAGAAGAGCTGGCTTCTTCTGAAGTCCAGTTCAGCTTTGCAGAGAATCCGGGCAGTATAGATTGTATTTCTGTGTGAGAAGAAATGGAGACAAAAAATAAATAAATAAAAAGGCAGTTTGGATAAGTACCAGAGTTTCTGGAATTGTTTATTAAACTGATGAGCCAAGAAGGCATTTCCCTGATGAAAAGATTATCTGCAAAATTTGAAGTATGACTGGAAATGGCTATGCATCAGCAAATTGCTTGAACATTTAGAATTACTTTATGGGGTTAAGACATTTAATCTCATGTTTTCAATTTTTCACATTTGCTAAATCAATTTGTATTTTCAGTTAATTTCCACAAGGTCATGTCCAAAGCTAGATATCTTCAGAACTGACAGCTCTAGCTTATATTCTTCTGTTTTCAATAAATTTTTTTTTTTTTTTAATTTTTTTTTTTTGAATGTTTATTTATTTTTGGGACAGAGAGAGACAGAGCATGAACGGGGGAGGGGCAGAGAGAGAGGGAGACACAGAATCGGAAACAGGCTCCAGGCTCTGAGCCATCAGCCCAGAGCCCGATGCGGGGCTCGAACTCAAGGACCGCGAGATCGTGACCTGGTTGAAGTCGGACGCTTAACCGACTGCGCCACCCAGGCGCCCCTGTTTTCAATAAATTAATTCATTGTTTGATAAACACAAATCCAGTAAGTGAGCTAATTTAGAATTAAAAGCAGAAAAATTCAAGAATGGCCCTCTCAGGCATTTACCTAATGCAGTACTTTCTTTATTTAATAAGGTAGTCTTTACAAAGTAAAACAAACTCTTCCTAATTTTGTTCACAAATTAACCACTTGGTATGTTTACATATGTTAACTTAGAACTATCTTTCCACAAAGCACCAGGTGGTCCTGCATCATCAACAAAGAGAACCTCAAAATTTGCATCATTGTCCTTCCTTTCTGTATCTTGGCACTCATATTATAAAGGAAAAAAAAACAAATCTCCCATTTTATAAAATGCCATCCCTTATTTCTCCTCTACATTACTAGTATAATGGAGAACTAAAAACAAAGATTTTGTAAATGAGGTTGACAGTGTTGATATTATACAAGAACCCAACTTTAAAAACAATAATAAAATGCATCCTAAAATAAAAGCACAACTCTCTCCTACAGCACTCATACTACATATCTAATAAATCTGTAACCTCAGAAAGTACGGACATTACCAAGATCAAGTACTAGCTATCAATCTTAGTGGGTAGTATTTTTCTTGCCATTATTTGTTTTTCAAATATAATTCAATTGTAAAGCTTGGGATAATATGGCAGCAAGGTTGTGCTACACTGAGGTTTAGTGAACTTGGCATTGAACCAAGATGCCTTGCATCAATCTTTAGTTTTACCACTGACCAACTTTCTGACCTAAAGTGACCCCTTTTTACTGTGATTAAATTACCTTTTGTGAAATAAGAGAAAATTTGTTCCTGAATCCTACCTTGTCTTTGAAGTACTGATACAGTGCAGAATGGGTAAAACATGTAGACACATAAGAAAAAGTATTGTCAATAACTGAATTCTCCAGAAATCTAATTAACAATTTAAAAGAAAATGTGTAGTTATTTGTGGAAAATCAGTTTCAATTGCCTCACTTCACACACACACACACACACACACACACACACACACCCAGATGGACTGACTAGAGTTAAATGTGAAAGGCCGAACAATAAAACTAAATAAAAGACTTTTATTTCTTTTTTAATGTTTATTTATTTACTTTGAAAGAGAGAGTGTATGCAGGAGAGTGGCAGAGAGAGAGGGAGACAGAGAATCCCAAGCAGGCTCCACACCGTCAGTGCAGAGCTGGACATGGGCATCGAACTCACAAACTGTGAGTTCGTAACCTGAGCTGAAATCAAGAGTTGGATGCTTAACCGCCTGAGCCACTTAGGCACCCCAAAGCCTTCTATTTCAAGATAAGTTGAGCATATGTTGAAACTGCACCTTCCCGGGGTGCCTGGGTGGCTCAGTCGGTTAAGCGTCCGACTTCGGCTCAGGTCATGATCTCCCGGTTCGTGAGTTCAAGCCCCGCGTCGGGCTCTGTGCTGACAGCTCGGAGCCTGGAGCCTGTTTCGGATTCT